TTATGCAATTGAGACACCGGCAATGACATTAAGTAGTCATCAAGAAGCATCTATTGTCAGAAAATGTCAGAAAGCATTAGTCAGCCAGCTATCAAATGCGCACAGACAAAATCCTCAACCTTCCTGTAATCTTGCTCTATTGTACCGTCTTTACCATTCTATATAAAGCCCCTTGAGGTGGCTGTTGTTGCTGAATAAATTACATAAAATAGAACTGAATAAATCCTCGAAATAAACTTTACTTACTTCATGTGCTCGACTCCTCGGGGATGAAGAATTTAGTCAGCACCTAAACTAATGCTCATCTGGTGTTTTCTGACAAGTTTGGATCAAAGCATTATTTTATCCTGTTAACCCCCTTTCCTGAAGGGAAACAGCCTCTTTGTGTTTTACTCCATAAGTCACAGATGTAGCTGAACTTCTGGGTGTAGGAGTATCTGCTATTGTTAAAGCGTGATCCTCTCTGATAATTGCCTGAATGAAAGTATTGTTAAGGCTCTGTGCAGGTGCCACAGCCATCAGTAAGACAACGAAACCCGGCTTCCCACCTGTGAACACTGCCAATTGGCCTTCGCAAGAGCGCAAGCTGGAGGGATCATTAGCTGTGATGGCTGCGTCATCTTTTGTAAAGCGTCCCACTTACGCACAGAGCTGGATGGTGTTCCTTCTAAAAATAATCAATGCTGAAAGCGTGCTGATGTGCTGCTTGCTCGGTTGAAATACCAGAAAAATGTGAACTGCTTTTTCTTAGAAAACGGTGTGTCTTTGATGCCGCCCTAATACTGAAATAAAAAATAATAAACTGTATAGTGTTTAAAAGCTGCTGAAATAAAACAAAACTCACAGCATTTGATTTAACTTTAAGACTGAGCCCTCAGGGTAGAAACACACTGGGCTCTATTAGGTCGCCAACACCTCCTACGCTCACTTGTGCTGTCAGTCCAAATGCAGTTTACTGCTGCTGTTGCTGCTTAGTTTCACAAGTAAAGTAGGCCAGTGTAGGAGCTGTGGAGTTTTGTGTTAGGTATAAAATAATGGGCTGCAGGTAGCACCTATGTAGAGTAAATTAGCAGTTCAAGGTGTCTGTAAATGTTATAAAATGTTATATAAAATTATTGAGACATCAGTTAAAAGACTTCAGGTTTTTCATTTACACCAAAATGCTGGACAGAGCCGCCCTGTGATGCTGTTAAATTCACTGTTAAAACAGCGGAGCTGAGGATTAAACTTCAGTATTCATTAGTCCTGTAGTTAACTAGGTTTCTAACATTGTTTATTTGATTTTCCACCACACTCTTTCACTAAGACTCAAACAGTTCAGACACCGTATACCCTGCCCTAATTTTATCTTCCAGCCTCTGGGCAAAGCTTTGTTGTCGAGCTATCAGCCATAAAATATCTTCCGTTCCTTCAGTGCCTGTTGCAGTAGACTGGCTGGTATTATCTTCACCTTGTGAGGGTATGTGTGAGTGTGCAAAATGGGCCTGGAGACACAAACTGTAGGGGCTTCCATCACAAAGTTGGTTTTTCAATAGGCAGATTAGTTAAAATGATAGGGCTGCAACTTTGCAAGACAGAATTACAAAACTTTACAGCCAAAGATGAAAGTCAAACATGTGGATTAAATGAAGTTTGCATCTATCATATTTACTGAACTTGCATACGTTTATTGACTCTCACACAAAAAGCTTGCCAGCTGGAGCTATCAGCATAGTTTGACTCTGCAACAATACCTGTAAAATCAAAAAGTACTAACCTAGAAGCAAAGATAAGGAGTAAATTCAATTCAAGAATATAAGTTAATTAAGTCAATTTGGTATTTCTGCTTCATGACCAACTCTGTGAGACTAATGCTAAGTAAATTATCTATAGGTGGAAGGCTCTCAGCGAGGGAGATTTTCCAGAACATTCAGGTATATCTGAAACAAAGCATGGGTGTGTCTCACTGCTGACTGTAGCCTGCTACTGGAGACACACACGGGAATATGATATTATCATTATATATCCTCCAACATAGAGAATAATGTAGGTAATTTAACCGCGAGGCAGGAGATGACTTTTGACTTAGTATTATGAACATTTAAGCATAAATATGTTTTTGGACGTTGGCTGATTTCTCTGATGCCTCACATGATCAATGATATTCATCACTTGCGTAAAGGTGGAGTTGCTATGTTGTGGGTGGAAGGTGAAACGTGTGATGTCACATCAAATTCAGATCAGATGGTGCTGACACTACAATTGAATGTTGCACTAAGATTGCAAAATTACAGGAAAGGGCTGAGAACATTCAGCAGAACAACATACAAAGTTTCTCCGGACTGTGGGAGAGAAACATGATGCAAAGTTTATGGTGGACTGGTGCGCAAGCTTGTATTCAAGACCAGTCAAATTCCATGACACAGACACAAAACACATATTTGCATCTTTCCATATGACTTACACTTCCAAATACTTTCATTAACACGGAATAAAGACAAAAAAATCAGCTTAGACACTGATATTACTAGAGAATAATTAAACGTTCTTGTTTTCTTCAGTGTTAAAGTCATCTTGTGACTTCTCTGTGCATCCATGCCTCTATTGCAGTCAGGAGCTTCTAATAGTTTGTTCAGTATATTTAAAATGAAATTATTAAGGCAAAAATCCCAAATAGTTTTTATGATGAATTATCTTCTGCTGGCTTGCATCCTTCTTTTTAATCATCAGATTCATTCTCAAACAGTTTTATTTTATGGTTGTTTGCATCCAACAATAAAAGGTACATTTTTACCATGATATAACATTGATTACCTTGGCTGAATACAAATTACAGCAACTACCTAGAAAAGCAGCGGAGTTGGAGTTTGAATATTTGCTAAAACTTTGCCCAGAAGCATGCTCATTATTGAGCAGCTCAGGTGATCTTCCAGGTATGAGCATGTGTTGTCTTTGAAGAGGTAAAGAAATTGAATTGATTAAGTGTAGCAGAAGATGAAAACAGAAGAGCTTGCTGGTGGAATTCAGATTTACTCAAGCCTGAAGTCTGTGCTCACACTCACGTTTGCAAGTAACCTAAAAATGCCGCGTCACTGAAGACGAGCAGCAGCACGCTGCAGTTATGCTCTGCTTCACTGATCCGATACTGTTTCGTTACCGCTCAGTAAAAATGAACAAAAGCTGACACTTGATCCACTGTGGAAAATAAAGTTGTGGATATCTTCATTGCCCTCTTGTGGTCAACGGGTAGCTGTGTTACAGCACATTCCTCCTCACACTGCAGACCAGGAAAGAACACACTGAGATTTGAAGAACGGTGTCGCCCCGAGGCTGGTCTTGTCTTGTTTGGATTCATTTTACGGCTGAAGCCAGATGCCAGTGCTCAATTTCAAAGCCCCGCCATCATTGTGTGTGTGTGTGTGTGTGAGAGAGAGAGAGAGATGTTTGACCGGTTTGCCAACCTGCCCAGCATACAATTTTTGACTGTTGTTGCAATTTTTTGCTCACCTCACACACTTAGCATTGGCAAATAGAAACATGTATTCGTGCACAGAAACACACAAACACACACATACCAGATAAAGGATAATACTCTTTGCAGGAACTGTCTGACCCCATATCCTGTATTCCCAGCTGTTACCCAAGAGTCACGCAGAGACAAAGAAATAGACAGAAAGATAGATAGAACTTCCCTCCTCTGTGGGGGTGTGTCAAAATTGTGTCTATTACGTCCCAGAGGCAGACCTTGCATTTCAGAATTTCTGATTTCCTGAATGCACCTTAGCACACGCACATACTGAAACACAAACACACCTGCAAACTATGCCATCTGATGCCAGAGATGATGCTCCTGTGTGAGAAACAGGTTGCTACTGGAACAACAAAGAGAAACTGAGGACAGAAAGGAAAGAGAAACAACAAGTTGTGAAATAGACGGTAACTGTGGCAATTTTTGGACTTATGAAAGATGGATGAATGAGAATATGGGAATAAGGAAGACACAGAGCAGAATGAAGAGGACAAGTCTCCACAGGACGCTAGGATACATATATAATTGCGCACAAGCATAAAAAGACTCTACAGATGCTTTTGAGAAGCATCAGGTAAGCCATTTAAAGTTCAAAAAACTTATTTAATTAATCGAAAATATAATGTAAAATACCCTGTGTAACGCTTGTAAAGGATGCACACAATATGAAAAACAGCACTGTAAATTCTTAAATGAAAGATGAGAAGAATGTGTCATGTTTTGATTTCAAGGAAAGCCAGAATGTGGGAAAAAGCAGGGGTTAAGCAAGGAATAGTGCTGTTGCCATTCTTCAGAACAAAAAAAAAGTGATGATGATTTTATTTGTGCTCCATCTACATGTATAATTTATTCAGACACTCCAGTTGACATTCTGCATATTTCATGCAGCAAACCCTGTAGATTAACTTTTATTTAATCAGATTCTTGTTATAATGAAACACAGTAAAGCGTAATGACTTACTTTTGTGAATTGATTACAGACGTTTTACTGGAAAAATGTAGCTGCTTGTCTTTAGCCACTGAGGCCGAGTCTGGAATTTTAAAGGAATAACTCACTCATAGTTGCTCTTGTCTAATATATATCTATACATATTTATACATATTTTGATCTAACATGCCCATAACGTCAATGGGTTTTCAAAATGCACATCAAGCACAAAAGTTTGGGTTAGTTTTAAGGAAGATAATAACTGTTAATATAAAGGAACATTTGTTATGATGGTTGCAATAATAAAAAGAGTGGCTACACTAGAAGAAAGTGCAGAATCACTAACAATATTTACTATTGTCTAAAGAAGGAAAAGAAAAGTGTCTCGTCAGCCTATTTTCACCAACAAAGAAAATATATTTTCAAATTAGAAATGAGGTTTTTGCAAAAATCAATGTCTCCCTTTGCTTTAGCAATCATTAGGCAGTAATTTGTAGTAATAGTTAGGCGACTGGATGAAACAGCCTAAAAGAAATGATGACAGTGTATATTTTCAGATAAATAATGGGTAACAACGACATCGGTACCTGACTTTGGATAAATGATGGGGCAGGTTTTCCAATGTTATTTGTTATTCCACTCAAATAAATCTACGGTCAAGTAGATCAAGTAATTGTCAAGTAATTAACATTTTCAATTAAAATAACACTGTTTCATGCTTGGAAACAGTGTTACTTTAATCGAAAGGGAGGTTGTGTATAGGAAATGAATTACTGCTGTACCATGTGTGAAACAAAAAAATACATAAATAAAAAATTTATATATAATACATATATAATTAATAATGGCCGGTAATGAATGTAAACCCTTCTCTTGTATCTCTGAAAGGCTGGGATGCAGTTGTATTACTTAAATTTTCAATTACTACATAAAGCTTTTCATGTACAGGTAAAGATTTGTACTTTTTGAGCATACTGAGCAATTATCATAGAGCATTAAGTGCTGATGAGGCAGATGGCACATTTCAAAACTAAAGGCATTGGAAAGATTTGAGAATAAAACCTGTGTATGACTTGAAAAAGCAGAATTATGTGAGATGATAGTTTGTTTTGCAAATTCGCTCAGTCATTCTCTATCAGTTATTCTTCACTTAAATGTTCTCTTGTCTAGTCTACACTGCATGTACCTCAGAATGATTTGATTTTATATTATGTTTGGGGGAAAATACTTCTATTTTGATTTTTATTAAAGATTCAAAAATGATTCTTTTTTATTATGAATACAAAGAATATGCCTATTTTTTATGTGAGGAGACACACATCACTAATATTAGATAATTTTGCAGATTGATTGATCAGATTGAATTAATTTAGATTTTTCATCTGAATCATCGTTATGGTCAAGATTGAAATCTCAATGCTAAATAAATGTTGAATCAATGCAAAAATACTAACCCACTTAATAAAGGTGGATTTATAGTTCACTGGGAAATTATATTGAAAGGCCATTGATTTATAGTTGAGTGTGAAATTAAAGCTATTATTACTTGGACAATTCCATCGCACCCCTCTTTTACAGTGGTCCACCCCATTTGTTCAGTAGTCACTGATTTATAGTTGACCGGGATATGATATTTAAAAATCATGGATTTATGGTTCGATATCACTGAACACAGAGAATACATCAGGTAAGCATTCACTTATTTTCTAATATTTCAATTTTACCAAATCTGTTCTTAACCAGTTATATTTATATAAAAATATTGCTGAACACTCACCACAGTGATACATATTCTAGATGTTTGACTGTCAAAAAGGTCATCAGTTGAAATTAGCTTGCTAATGTAACTGATTACTTAGATGATCAAATTATGTTAGCTAAGATGAATTAGAGAAAGATAGCGATATCTTGAGTAGAAAACATCAAATCTGAAGAAAGTATGCTCATTCCTTATTTTTTCCATTTGCTTTATTTAGGTTTTGGTTTTGTTTTCTGGTGTAGATTGGGCGACTCAACAAATGGAGGAAGTGACAGTCTGAAAGTTCTCCTTTATCTACAGGCAGTTCACAATTACAGTCCAGACCGGGGCAGGACATCATTCACTGCACGAGTGAATTCCCCGAAAAGTATTTTAAACTAATGTGATTCAATAAATTAATTTTTTTTTAAATGATGTCAAGTTGTCTGTTGTCATTTATATGTTAAAGCCTAGTGTTTAATGCAACAGTCAAAATGTTTTAATCAACATCATTACATTATTTACCACAACATTAGATAAATAAATTATATTATGCTGAAGTATTTTAAGTAATTTTTTTAACATCATTTGAAATTCCACTTCACGTCCTTTTGATCTTTAGTTGATCATCATCTCAGTATTGTTTTAATATTAACCGAGGTGTAAAAATGACCAAGAATTAATGTCAGAATCCAATGTTGAGTCAATGAAGTTTATGTTGATAGTAAAAAATTGATTTAACATTCTTTTAGTTATTGTTTTCTGTCTATATATATCTATATCTAAATGTGTATATATATATACACACATATATGTATAATATTGTGCTCTTTCTAAATTTTACAAGCATGAACTGAAATTTAGCCACAAAATGACTCACACAAATATAACCTACTGGGTTCTTTTAAAGGCGTGAATGTAGTAAGGTGCAACCCAATCTCTATGTGTCCACCCTTGCCCCATTGTCAACCTTTCAGTGCACACAAAGGCACATATAATACAAGATCGTGTCAGTTTACGAGGAGAGGAAAGGAGAAGTTGAATGTAATCCCACAACTGAAACAAAAACTGACACGAATCTACATTTAGAGAGACACAGACGAGTTGTATTACATAAGTACAGTAAGAGGAAGCTGGCACGCAAGTTGTTCTTGTTTAAAAAAAGTTTGAAAATTCACTTTGAATAACATGATTGACGTGTAGAAATTTGCAAAACAAAATAAAAAGAGAGAAACGGATGAATAACTGACTGTGGAGTGTGTTGCCTCTTATTTCCAGGAGGATGTTTGACCTTTGCTTAGAGGGGAGGTGGAGATGGAAACCTTATTTTCTTCTCACCATCTTGCTTGTGTTGCTGAGAGCTGCTCCTACAGGTAATGACTTACTCACATAAAGACAAAAAAAAAAAAAAGGAAATACTGATTTTTATTTAATGGAATATTTTACACCATAACATATTGCTGACTTAACCTCAAATTAAGTGTGCTATTTTAGTTGGCTCTAAGCCACCACTGAGATTTTATCTGTCTCCACTGTGTCGAAGTGCAATTAAAACTTTTTGTCTGGATTTCTTTTACCCATTTGCAGCACTTGGCAATTTCCTGGGAGACACTAAAGCAGTATTAAATGGTTGTAAAGACCACTGGACCCTGCAGGACAGGACAGCCGTGCCCCTCCTTTATGAGATGACCATATGTGTGGACATTCGTGTGGTCCTCCCTGGTGCTTGGGTGGCCTTCTCTTACCGCTCAGCCTTCGCACCCAGGCCCGAGTTAGGCCTGGAGGGAGATGAAAGAGCACTATATGGATGGCTACTAGGAGTGCGACACCGATTTCCTCTCCAGCTGTCCCCAACGCATTGGCACAGAGTGTGTCTAAGGAGGGATATAAAGGCCAAAACTTTTAGTCTAAAGGTAACACTGAAAAGTGTTTGACAAAGCATTCAGATATTTTACTTGCATAAAAAGTAACAATGCAAGATTGTAAAAACACCCAATATTATTACAAATTGATGTATTTGTATGTATATGTGTGTAATTTATTTAGTAGTTACAATAAGAAGCAGCACAAAAGTCAAAACAACAATTTTCCCATGTTAGCACAAACACAAAACAAACAGTGTTTGCAAAAAAGAGAAAAACTGTTACATAACTGAAACTTGCAAAGACACTGCACATAATGAGTGGAATTTGAAATAAAATACAAAACAAAAAAGGACAGGTACTGTTTAGACAAACACAGTTACAGTTTTGCAAGAAGTTGAGTTGCTGAGTCTATGTTTAGCCCTCACAGTCAGGCACGTGCAGAGGGGGGGGGCACCCGCCCCTTTCCTGATGGGTGCCCAAAGTGCCCTTTTGTTGAGGCAACTTT